GCATGTTGCTTTAAATGTGCCTGCCTTTTCCATTCTTGGCTCTGGCTTCCAACATTTACTAGATGTTGGCACTTGGCACAGACTGGTATCTGCTAAATGCCAAGCACAGTCTCCCATGAAAAAATGGTAAACAAACAAACAAAAAAACTAAAGAGAGGTGGCATTTGACTCTGGATTCAAACTGAGGTTGAATTCTCTCTCTCCATCATCTATTAGAAGGGTAACCTTGAACAAGTTACTTAACCTCTCTGTGCCTCAGTTTTCTTATTTTGAAAGTGGGCAAATGAGTAGTTACTACCTTAGTAGGTTTTTTAGGGAATACAATGAGTTAGTGTCTGTAAAATTTAAGAACAGTGTTTGGAATAGAGATTAAAAAAAAAGGCAGACATTCAATAAAAGCCTAGGATTCCTGTCTTCTTTGGCTAAGTCCTATTTTTTGCCAAATATTTGGCCCCTGACTTGATGTGGTTTCTGCCTTAATTGTTCATCAGGGATCTAGTTTTTACTTCAGTGTGTGTGCCCGTTTCCCCCCCTTCTCTTTGTGGTTCTCCTACTCATCTAGGTGTTTACAGTTCTAATTCCTTTTTGTGGTGGAAAATAACTTGGGAGATTGTCGGGAAACAGTACCTTGTTGTTGTCAGTGATGATTTTATGGCATATTAGTAGGGGTTTATAATAATGAAATAGGCTTTTGTTTTTTTCTGTAGCAACAGGGATTATTTAAAAGATAAAAGTCCTTTACCCATGCTTATTTTTTTTTAAATTTTTTTAAAGATTTTTTTTTATTTATTTGTGAGAGAGAGAATGAGAGACAGAGAGCCTGAGAGGGAGGAGGGTCAGAGGGAGAAGCAGACTCCTTGCTGAGCAGGGAGCCCGATGTGGGACTTGATCCCGGGACTCCAGGATCATGACCTGAGCCGAAGGCAGTTGCTTAACCGACTGAGCCACCCAGGCGCCCTCCCCATGCTTATTATAGTTATGTGTACTTATTTTAAAAGATAAGAATATTTATAGAAAAGAAACTTAAAAGTGAAAGATGTGTTCCCTCAGTATTTATTGAATGCCTGCTATGTGAGAAGATACTGTTAGGTGCTGAAACATAATTGTTCTTAATAGTTTGGTATATAATCTTACAGCTGTTTTTAAAGGTCTTTGTAATCATATAAGTAATACTACTTAACGAAATAAAACCATACTTAAAAATTACTCCTTTGTTTCTTGCTTTTCATCACAAAATAATGTGTTTTAGATGGTTTTCATATAGCATATAAAGATCTAGTCAATCTTAAACTGTTGGGTAGTATTCTTTGGAATGGATGTACCATAATTTAGTTAATGCAACTTCTTTTTTTAAATAAAGATTTTATTTATTTATTTGAGAGAGCGAGTGAGAGTGAGAGAGAGAAAGCACAAGCAGGGGTAGGGGCAGAGGGAGAAGCAGATTTACTACTGAGCAGGGAGCCCAACGCGGGGCTCAATCCCAGGACTCTGGATAACAACCTGAGCTGAAAGCAGACGCTTAACCAACTGAGCCACCCAGGTGCTCCTAGTTAATGCAATTTCGATAGAAGAATTCCTGATAGTTTTCAGTTATTATTACAAGCAGTGATACGACAAAATCCTTTTACATCTATCTATTTGGCATATGTATTCCTGGAGAATAAATTTTTAGAAGTGGGGTTGCTGAGTCAAATGATGTATTAATTTGGACTCTTAATACATTTAAAAAGATTACTGTTCTATAAACATCAGCTTTCTTGCCTCTTTCCCCATATTTTCATCAACACTAGATATAATTATTCTTAATGCTCTGTTTTTTTCTGTTTCATTGTTTTAATTTGAATGACAAAATTATTGAGATAAGACTTTCTTTAACATTTTTAATTGGCCAGTTATTTTTTATACAACTGTACTAGGTTTAATTGGCCCAGTTTTCTGTTGGATTTTTTAGTTTATTCAGATATTAAGACCATTTGTCAAATGTTGGGAATCTTTTTTTGTTTTTTTAGTATACGCTCTACCTTGCTTCATATAAGTTTTTTTTTTAAGATTTTATTTTTTTGAGAGAGAGAGAAAGTACAAGCAGGGGGAGCTGCAGGCAGGGGGAAAAGTAGGCTCCCTACTGAGCAAGGAGCCTGATGCAGGACTCGATCCCAGGACCCTGGGATCATGACCCGAGTCGAAGGCAGACGCTAAACAGACTGAGCCACCCAGGCGTCCCTTCATATAAGCTTTTAATTTATAGGTAGTTAGATTTCTTAATCTTTCTTATGGCATCTTGGTTTTGTTTTATTCCTTTCCCAAAAAGAATAAGAAGAATCGGAGATTCTCTGTGTCAGTAGTACTTTCTGATTTTTATTAAAACCAAGATTAATGATTTGTTTCCTTTTTTTTCTTTTTCCTTTTCATGGTGTTCTTAGATTTTGGTCTCCAATTTAGCATATACAACTTCATCAAATAGTTTGGAATCTTGCTGTGTTATTGTTTACTATGGAGCAAAATAGAGCATAAGGTGGGACCATCTTGGACCCTGCTTAATTGAAATCCAATTTATATTATAAGTACTCATACTTGGTACCAATTTATAATAAGAGTGATCAGCAGTCCCTGTTTGCCTGAGATAGTCTAAGTTTATCCTTTTTTCCAGTGTAAGTTTTAATAGTGTCCTTTTTCATTCTCAAAAAGCACCTCAGTTTAGATGAAAAAATTACAAGGATTATAAGGGATAGTTGTTTACATTGAGAATTTTTTAGAATATTTTAATATTTAAGGCTTCAGTTGTTTCTGTTTACAGTATTCCTCCAATACTTAGCAATACTTCATTTGCTTTAGCTTTTTAAAAATCTCTCATTTCTATTATTTTCATGATGAACTTCTTGCAAAGTTCACAGAATTGCTTATGTGAGGTATTTCTAGAGCAGTGATGTTCGTGTTTACCTTCTTGAACTTCATTCCAGTATCTAGAATAATGTTTACTTTTTGAACAGTGTCCTAAACATGTTGAAGCATTTGTCTATGCGTGTGCATATGTTTTCGTTATACTTTACTAAATATGTGATAAAATCTTTTTGTGTGAATATGATTAAATCTTTTAAGCTGGCCAAATAAACCTTCCTTTATTGTATTGTTTTTTTTTTTTTTGGTGTTGGTGCTATCCACTGATATGAATTGGTTTATACTTGGATCATTGGCTTTGTAGTATGCTAAGTAATAACTGTTCTTAACACTGATCCCTGTGGGATTCACTTAATGCCAGTACTTATTGTACTGTAACAACGTTGATAAAACATTGGTCCTTGCTATGAGCCAGATTTTTATCTAGCTTATTTTATCATTCAGGTAATACTTCTTCAGACTTTTTCTTATATAGTACTGTGTCAAAGTCCTTATTGTAATGTAGATAAATTGTGCCCATTACATTTCCTTTCTCTAGCAGCTCTGTTACCACTTAAAAGATTTACACAGCTCTGGAACAGACACTTCTCAAAAGAAGACATACAAATAGCTAACAGACACATGAAAAAATATTCATCATCAGCCATCAGGGAAATTCAAATCAAAACCACATTGAGATACCACCTTACACCAGTTAGAATGGCAAAAATTGACAAGGCAAGAAACAACAAATGTTGGAGAGGGTGTGGAGAAAGAGGAACCGTCTTACACTGTTGGTGGGAATGCAAGTTGGTACAGCCATTTTGGAAAACAGTGTGGAAGTTCCTCAAAAAGTTAAAAATAGAGCTACCCTATCCCCAGAAATTGCACTCCTGGGTGTTTACCCCAAAGATACAGATGTAGTAAAAAGAAGGGCTGTATGCACCCCAATGTTCATAGCAGCAATGTCCACAATAGCCAAACTGTGGAAAGAGCCGAGATGCCCATCAACAGACGAATGGATAAAGAAGATGTGGTCCATATATACAATGGAATATTACTCAGCCATCAGAAAGGATGAATACCCAAGCTTTACATCAACATGGATGGGACTGGAGGAGATTATGCTGAGTGAAATAAGTCAAGCAGAGAAAGTCAATTATCATATGATTTCATTTATTTGTGGAACATAAGGAATAGCATGGAGGACATTAGGAGAAGGAAGGGAAAAATGAAGGGGAAATCGGAGGGGGAGACAAACCATGAGAGACTATGGACTCCGAGAAACAAACAGGGTTTTAGAGGGGAGGGGAGTGGGGGGTTGGGTTAGCCTGGTGATGGGTATTAAGGAGGGCATGTATTTCATGGAGCACTGGGTGTTATATGCAAACAATGAATCATGGAACACTACATCAAAAACTAATGAAGTACTATGTGGTGACTAACATAACATAATTAAAAAAAGAAAAAAAAGATTTACACAGCTTACACTTACTCATTTTCATCACTGAGTGTAAACTGTAACTCAACCAGTTGTGTTCTTTCTAAAACTATTACTTTATATTATGGGATAGTTTATAAAGTTGTGATTTTAAAAAGGCCAAATAGTTTAATCTTTCCTTTAGTCAAAAATATTTGTACTTATGAATATATCTTTAAAACCTTAAAATTTTTCTTGTATGTCTAGTTGTTTGGTGTTTGTATTATAATATATATATTTCTTGGTGTTATATATTGATATATATATCTGATTCTGGATTTCAGTGTTGGCATACTAATAAAATATTAATATTTGAGAATATTAATCTGGTGATTAGAATATCACATAGGAATTTCTAATTGTGTTACCATTAGCTTTAAAATTTTATCCTCGGGATAAAGTTATTTATATATAGTTATTTTCAATTTCATATATATAAACTGTGAATAGGAATTTTCATAAAATGTTTATGCTTTGAGAATATATTTAGGCACTAAAATAATGTTAATGAAGTTTTTTTGCAATGGGCATAATAGTAGAAGTATTGTTTGTTTTATTAGACACATAGTGATGTTTCTTTCTTTCTAATACATAAATATCAGATATATAGTACAATGTCATTTTTGCTTTTGTGTTTCTTCTGCAGAGAGTGATAATGAACTCTCAAGTGGAACAGGTGATGTGTCTAAGGATTGTCCTGAGAAGATCCTGTATTCTTGGGGAGAATTGCTAGGAAGATGGTAAAAATTTATTTTTTTGTATTGAAAATTTTACATTTACATAGTTGATGTTAATTTGTCTTATTAATTAAAATGTGTATGTTTATCTTAGTATTTTAATGTTCTTTAAAAACATAAAAGTTAAAACATAATTCATGGACACTCTTTATGTTTGGCTGGGTCTTCCATCCAATATGGTCTTATTTAACTTACTTTTGGAAGATACACTTGCCTTATTGTTTCATTTAGACATAACATTGCTCACAGTAGTCAACTGTATGCTTTATTGCTAAAACATGTAAATATCTATCGTTAAAGGGTCATATTTCCTTTCTCTACTAAGTCTATTACCATGAAAAGGGGCTGTAGTGCTTAGAATTGCTCATTTCACCACTGGTTATAAACTGTAACTCAGTCTGTTTTATTCTTTCTGACTAAAACTGTTACTTTATATTTTGGAGTATTTTATCTAGAACTACAAAAAAAAGGGTACTTTGTATTTGTTATGCATATGCTATTTATACCTATTACAGGTAAGTTTTTTAAGGAGGTAATCATGACTATAATTTGTTAGTAAATTTTAAAAATCTTACCAACAAATCATTCTGCCGTACCATTATATAGGAACCATGATTTATTATTGAGTATACATGTCAAATTACATGCATGCTGGTGGTCCAGGAGAAGCTACTATGTTTGGGCAGAATTTCACACATTTTGTACAGTAAAGTAGAAGAAAGAAGAATTAAAATTTTATCTTTTTAAGAGACAAATGAATGCTTCTTACGATAATCTCCTATACACATCCTGAGAGACTCCTGATTTAATTTAGGAGATACGTTATGGTTCTGAGGGTCGGAAAGCCCATGACTTCTCACTGTAAAATCTGGAGAATAGTTTTGTCAACTTCCTGACCAAAGTGTTGAATCTATTATGTTTTGTTTTCGTTTTTGTTTTTGTTTTTGTTTTTAAAAGAGATGCCCTAAGAGTAAGGGAGGGCTTGCTGCCTCCCCTAATTAAACAAAGAAAATTTAATCTTATTTATCTCACACATACAAATGTGAAATGAACACATCTTAGAGAGTTTATTTAACTCATTAATTAATGGGAAGCAGTAAGATATTAGAACCAATCAAAATGAGAATTCAATTTGGAGATTTATATTCTCTTCCTGATAATTCACTTGCATTGTCATGAACAGGAATTATTTTCATGGCTATGGACAAAAAACTTATACATTGTTACCAGTTTTTGACACACCTGTTGAGAGTTGTAAATTTGCCTAAAGACAAATAGAGACATACACCTCTGTCATCTCAGATAATTCCCAGAAGGGGCAACGTTCCGTAGAAAAGGTGTTCAGTAGTCTCTTTAGCCCATTTCAAAAATCTTTCACAATTTTTCCCTGTACTATATCCAGAAGCTAATTGATTCATGTAAACATTGTCCACCTTTCTAAATTCATCTCATATGTTTTTACTGATTTGTTATTGCCCCCTTTAAGATGAATTTTCATTTTCTAAGGCCCTGAGTTAGTGTTAAAAGTTATTCATGACACTGGTTAAAGGTGGTAAGGAAGACTTTATTCAGGGAGGGAGAGCTATCATGGTAAGTGTAGGGATCACTGAAATGAGGTCTTGCAGTAGGGGAGAGGGACTGGGCTCAACTCCAAATATGGGAAGTGCAAATTTATAGCCAATAGAGAATTACTAAGAGAAAACATCAGGGGTAAAGGGGCTCCTGGCTAAACTGACCTAAAAGGATTCTTTTTTTTTTTTTTAAATCTTTTATTTTATTATTATTTTTTTTAATTTTATTTATTTATTTGAGAGAGAGAGAATGAGAGAGAGAGAGCACAAGAGGGAAGAGGGTCAGAGGGAGAAGCAGACTCCCTGCTGAGCAGGGAGCC